TTATATTATAAATTGTATAAATTTATATAAATATGTTGTCTATCACAGAAATGATGTCAAGTTCATTAAGATCACAAATTTCAACAAATAAATACTTAAATTGCGACAACTTTCAGTTCTGCTTAACCAAGCCCATCATTTCAGGCCTTTAAAGGCGTCATTAATCCATTAGTTGTTACGCAAATGCCGCTCTAAATATGCTGCCCCATAAGCATTTTAACTATCTTAGGAATATACGCTCGATTATCCTCCCCATTTGCCAGTCTATTAACTGCCGCCAAAGTGTCGCATTGTTAGCCATTTAGGCAGCAAACCAATTTAGCCCGAGGACAGCTTGAGATAGTTTTGCTGCCACCCCTCGTTGGGCTATCTCATTAAATATTATCATTGTCGAATTTCGTTGCATATTTATTATTTGATGATGGGGCCCGGGCGAGGGCGTTGATTAAAATTCCCAGCGCTTGAACAATCTAATGAAATTAATGAAAAATTCATGCATCAAATGAAATGGCTGCCAACATGAATAAAGAGGAGCATGCTCGAGCTGTTCTGGGGGCTCCAAGGGTCGCCTACTCTAAAATGCTAAATAGCCACTTTTGCGGCAGGGCAGATTCAGCAAGAACAATTTTTATTTTCGTTTTAATTTTTTGTTTTCGAGCACGAGTCTTTGTCATAAAAGATTGAACAAGTTGTTGCAGGCAGAAGGGCCAAGCCGAGCCAGGCACATGCCACCAAAGTCAAAAGTGTCAAGCTCAGAGAAAACAACAAGCGATAAGAAATGCGAGAGTACTACACTAAACACGACTTGAGAGTGCCCTGTATTCCAGATTCAAACTGTCGTTGGACTTTAAGTTTTAATAGCCATGCTGATCCAACTCTTTAATAATAATAATAATATATATGTGTCTATATAATTGTAAGACATAATTATACATATAATTAATATATATTCGCTTCTTTCAAAGTATGTATGCTGTTACACATATGTGCATAAATCTGTATTTTTTTTTTTCTTTTTTTTTTAAGTTTTTAAAAAATTGTTTTATCTTAAAGCTGACTATATTTTTTGGACAATATGCTTTACAAATAAATATAAATATATATCTGATAAATCTTAAATTAAATAGATTAAAGTAAAACAAATTGTTTTTCATCGAGGTCAAAGCCATATTTCATGCATTAAAAAAAAATGAATTTTTACGATATAAATCATATGTATATATTATTATTTTATCAGCAATATACTCGCAACGAAAACAATTTTGCAATGGGCATAGAATATTAGAAGCGTACCCCTCTACAGTTCCTAATTCATACCCTGTGCAACGCACAAAGACAGCGAAGTTGTGACGCTTGGAGTACCGGAAATCCGTTTCATGACAAATGCCGCACATTGTCGTGCCGGAGTGTTAAGCGCGAACAGGACGATGGATGGAGAAAGAGAGAGTGAGCGATGGAAAGGGGTGGGGGCAGATGAGGGCACAACTAAGCCGGCAAACAGGCAATGAAATTCCGTCAATGGCAGCACGTGACTTACCAGCAGCGGCTAGCCAAAAAGAGAGCACACAAAACAAGAGAGCACAATGCCGCGACATTGACATTGAGAGCGCGACTGCCAGAGAGAGAGAGAGAGAGAGAGAGAGAGAGCGCCTGCGCTACTCTCAAAAGCCAGACCCGGCAATCACGACGTGCCGGCAGCTGAGGCTGAGCTCCTTTTTGGCATAACTTTGGTATTTTAATGAGAAATCCATATTTATGTTGTTTGTTTTGCCAAAAAGAGAACAACTTTCTGTTGTTGCAAACAAAACAACAAGAAGAAGACTTCAATAGGAAGGTTACGGGCAGCATATGCAGCAAAAAGTGAAATTACGGGGCGAACTGAAGCAGAGGACAGCTAAACATTTTTGTTGCTCGAGACACTTACCGGGAGCTGTGTAGCGGCATTTTGTAATCATTTTTAATGGGCTGGCGCCATATGGCACTAATATATATATA